TTGAACCCAGGAGGCAGAGGTTGCAGTGGCGCCATCTCGGCTCACTGCAACCTCTGCCTCCTGGGTTCAAGCGATTCTCCTGCCTCAGCCTCCCGAGTAGCTGGAACTACAGGTGCCCGCCACCACGCCCGGCTAATTTTGTGTGTTTTTAGTAGAGACTGGGGTCTCACCATATTAGCCAGGATGGTCTCGATCTCCTGACCTCGTGATCCACCCGCCTCAGCCTCCCAAAGTGCTGGGATTACAGGCATGAGCCACCACACCCGGCCTAGAGCTTCTTAAACTGCTTGGAAAGTGGCTATCAGAGAGTAAAGCTAACACAATGGAGACAGACCCAAAAGCTGGAGTGAGGCAGATGCCAGGTGACAATATCTGAGCGCCTGGATTCAGCTATGCCTGAAGTCTATTCCTGTGCTTTTCAGTTATGTGACCAAAAAAGCTTAAGCCAGTTTGAGTTGTATTTCTGTCATTTGCATCTAAGAGACTCTAAGTCCACTTAGAGAAACAGAGGGAGAGAGGCCAGACGCGGTGGCTCATACCTGTAATTCCAGCACTTTGGGAGGCCGAGGTGGGTGGGTCACCTGAGGTCAGGAGTTCAAGACCAGGCTGGCCAATATAGTGAAGCCCCGTCTCTACTTTAAAAATACAAAAAAAAGCCGGGCGCGGTGGCTCAAGCCTGTAATCCCAGCACTTTGGGAGGCCGAGACGGGCGGATCACGAGGTCAGGAGATCGAGACCATCCTGGCTAACATGGTGAAACCCCGTCTCTACTAAAACGTACAAAAAACTAGCCTGGCGAGGTGGCGGGCGCCTGTAGTCCCAGCTACTCGGGAGGCTGAGGCAGGAGAATGACGTAAAAAAGCCGAGATTGCGCCACTGCACTCCAGCCTGGGTGACAGAGTGAGACTCCGTCTCAAAAAAAAAAAAAAAAGAGAGAGAGAGAGAGAAATGGAGGGAGAGAAAGAAAACCCAGAGAGAGACACAACTACAGGGATGACACAACTACTGAGTCTGATGGGAAAGCAGGTGTGCGTGGGGGTGGGGTGGTCATTTAGGATCACTGAACTGACATTCAACAGTGAAGCAGGGATAGCAGAGCTTATTGGAAAGAACACACAGCCAAAGATGATTTTCCAGATGGGCCAGTCTGAGGTTTCCGATGAAAGTTTTTTTGCTGCTACATAGGTTGTCTGTCTGTGTAATGACAGTAGTCCATCTGAGCTTCCAGTCTGCACAGGGCGTGGGTCTACTTGGGGTGGGGAGGAAGACAAGGTCATTGGAGTTTATCTGAACAGTCAGCAATCAGTTGCAACCAGTGTCTCTACTAACAACTCATCGTGTAATACTTGCTCCAAGACCAATCTTTGTCTATCTATCTATCTATCTATAGACAGGGTCTCGCACTGTCACCCAGGCTGGAGTGCAGTAGTGCGATCATGGTTCACTGAAGCCTCAAACTCCTGGATTCAAGCAATTCTTCCACTTCAGCCTCCAGAGTCGCTGGGACTACAGTTGCCTGCCACCATGGCTTGCTAATTTCTTTCTTTTTTATTTTTTACTATTTATTTATTTTTTGAGATGGAGTCTGACTTTCTCGCCCAGGCTGGATGCAGTGGCACCATCTCAGCTTACTGCAACCTCCGCCTCCCGGGTTCAAGCAATTATTCTGCCTCAACCTTCCAAGTAGCTGGGATTACAGGTGCACGCCACCACGCCCTACTAATTTTTGTATTTTTAGTAGAGATAGGGTTTCACCATGTTGGCCAGGCTGGTTTGGAACTCCTGACCTCAAGTGATCTGCCTGCCTTGGCCTCCCAAAGTGCTGGGATTACAGGTGTGAGTCACCACGCCCGGCCACCTCTGGCTACTTTTTGTACTTTTAGTTGAGACAGGGTTTTGCTGTGTTGGCCAGGCTGGTCTCGAACTATTGGCCTCAAGTGATCCACCCACCTTGGCCTCCCAGAGTGCTGGGATTATAGGTATGAGGCACCACACCCGGCCAATTTCTTTGTTAATTGTAGAGACGAGGTCTCCCTATGTTGCCCAGGCTGTTCTTGAACTCCTGGGCTCCAGCAATCCTCCTGGCTCAGCCTCCTGAGTAGCTGGGATTACAGGCATGTACCACCATGCCCTGCTAATTTTGTGTTTTTAGTAGAGATGGAGTTTCTCCATGTTGGCCAGGATGGTCTCAAACTGCTGACCTCAGGCGATCCACCTGCCTCAGCCTCCCAAACTGTTGGGATTACAGGCATGAGCCACCGCACCCGGCGCTCCTCCTTTCTTACAGCTACATAGTCATTCAGTTTATTTATCCAATCCCTTACTGATGGACATTTGGTTTGTTTCTGATATTTTGCTTTGCAAACAAGAACATCTAATACACTTTGTGCACATGTATGAGTGTTTCTTGAGGATTTATTCCTAGAAGAGAGATTGCTGGCTCAAAATATGTATGAATTTTTCATTTTGAAAAATACTGCCAAGTTGGAGTGGAGAACTTTTTTCTGTGAAGGAGCCCTCCATCCCTAGGGCTGAACCAGTGATGAAAGACACCCTGGGTAGAAAGAGCATAGCCTTTCCATTCAGATGTATTTGGGTTCAAATCCCAGTTCTGCCACCTCTTTCCTGTGTGACCTTGGTTAAGTCACTTAACCTCTCTGATTTTCTGTTTCCTTAACTGCCCAGTGGAGATTGTAACAGGTGCCTCACAAAGCTGTTGCAAGGATCATATGGCATCTTGTAGGTCAAGCCTCTAGCATGGGCCTGGTGTGCAGTAGGCTCTTGGCCCATGTTGGTTTCCTTTCCCTGACTGAACCATTTTCTGCATCCATCATGGAAGATAAACTCTGGGGAGTGGCTGGGGAAGGTGATTTATTAATGAATGTCACACAGAAGTCAAGACTCCACGGTAGCCCCTTCTAAAGCCCACCTCTAAAGGCAACTCTTAGAGTTAAGGACCATTTCAAGTAAAGTTGTAAGGATCTGCTTTTGAGGAAACAGCGTAGGGTACCGACGGAGATCAGACCTCACTGGAGGACCTCTTCCTAAATGATCCCTTCACCGCAGACACTGCCCTCCATGCCTCAGTCTCTGCAGAGGAGGAGGAAGAGAATCCTCAAGAAGAGGAGGGTGGCTGGCTTTTACACAGGGAGTGGCTAGACTTGTCTCTTCACAGAGAATAGAACCAGAAAACAGACATCGGACAGACTGAGGCTGGGCAGCAGGGTGGGATTTCTGTCTTGGCACACAGCATGAGTGTGAGGGAAGTGGCAGGGTGCCCCGCCGGAGGTCCCCACCCAGGATGGCCTATCCATCTCCCTGTCTTGGTTCAGGGGGAGAGGTCTGGAAATCCTTTGGAGGTAGTGGCCAGATTGTATCCAGTCAGACCCTCAGCAATGCCAAAAGCCTCTTAGCTGCAGGTCACTGTGCTCCACTGTCTCTAGGCCACTGCCCCACCTTCAGGGCTATAGTTTCTTTCTTTTGGAAACTGTATGGGACATGAGAATCCCAGACTGGGCGCCATTCCTGGAAAAGGATGTGTGTGTGAGGCTGGCAGCCGCTGTGATGGAGTCCGAGGTGGTGATATTGGCAAAAAAAGGTGGAGCTGAGCAGCATGGTGACAGCAGTGGTGACAAGGCCCCCAGTACACGTAGCCATGATGAGTGACACTCGGTAGGGTAGGCTGTGGCGCCTCTATCCAGAGTCTAAATGCTTGCTTTCAGTTCCATCTCCATATATTACATGCTGTGTGGCCTGGGGTCAGTAGCTTGCCCTTTCTGACCTCGGTTTCATCATCAGTAAAATGAAGATGCTAATACCGCCTGTCCTGTCTTCCTCAGTGTCTCCAACCAGCAGGTGCCTTGAACATGCCACGAGGCAAGAGTGAATTCAGGTGGAGGTACTTTGCTAAAAGCAGCCCAGGTAGGAGGAGATGACTGAGCAGAACTGGCCGTGTTATCTTCAGAATGATTTCTTTCTTCCCCAAGAGACTCCTATTGCTGTGACGATTTTTCCTGGTTCTCAGTCCCTGGACTCTGGGGTAGCTGAGATCTTCTGGCTGTCGCCTCACATAGCGTCTCACAGTGATGTCCTGGCTTCCTGCCCAGGCCCCACTCACCAGTTCTAGTGCTGACCCTGCAGGTCCCAGGTCCCTCCCAGCCGGCCTAGAGACAGGGCCCAGGCTCGCTGGAAGGAACAACAGGAGACTTGCCTGAAAGCCAAATGTTCTACCCAACAGGACCTGATTATGGTGGCCAAGGGGCTGGACCTGGGCAGTCTCACCCAAGGCACACTTCTCAGGGGTCAGGAGAGTTTCAGCTCTGTGTTTACACATGATTCTAGGCTGAGGGGGAGAGAAAAAGCAGGGTACAGGGGGTGGCAGATTAGGCAAGGGAATGTGTCCCGTTAGCTCATAGTGGAAGTGGGCTCTAGAGTGCCTTGCCCATGCCCTCTTCATGCTCTAGAGAGGTGGGCAAAGGACAAAGTATGCGACTACCCAGGAGAACCAGCCTCCAGATTGAGACTGGAGATGAAGGCCACTCAGTCCCCTCCATTGCAAAAAGAATAAAAGAAAGGAGTAGGATTGGCCGGTGCTTGCAAATAAACAGGAGGGGGCAGTATTGGGGCAATGACCTCCATCGGGGAAGGTCAGGAAGGGACCTGTCTTTTACTGAGCACCCAGGAGATGCACCTGCACAATTTCATTCATTCTCACAACCACTTGTGAGGTAGGCACTATCTCCATGGCTCCATTTGGCAAATGAAAAAGACGAAGGTCTGAGAGGTCAAGTTACACTGCTGGGAAGAGGTTGACCTGGAGTGGAAACCCAGGACTGCCTGTCTGACAGCTGAAGGTGCTTTGTGTTCCTTACCTGCCTTCCCAAGGCTCCAGACCATCCCTCCTGCACATCCGCCTCTCCCAGGCCATGCATCTATGTCCCCAGCCCCCTCCAACAGCTCCATCTCCCTAGAGCTCCTTGCATCTCCTCATTCACTCCTCACTCTTGCTTCCTCTTTGGAATCCAGCCACAGGCTTTTTTCTTCCATCTGAGGGAGAGAAAATGGTCTCGTTCCCCACCCCCAGGTCTTTCCATCCTCTCATCCATCCAAACCTAAGCGTGTCTCTCTCTCCTCCCCTCCCCCTCTCTCTTTCTTTTTCTTTCTGTTTATCCATCACTAGAATCCACCCCCCTTCCCTCTTGCCTGTAGGTTCTGTGGCTATAATCAAATCATAACTTTTATTAAATTTAAGATTACTTTTTAATGGAATCAATTTCTTGTGTGGTGCTTCTCTGCCTGCCCGCGGGCTCTGCCGGCTCTGCGCTCAGCATCCCCACCCGCACAATTGTCTCTGCCGCTGGCGTTTCTGGCTAAGCTGCCTCTGAAGGAGGGGCAGGTCTGCCATCCCTAAACACACACAGAGAAACACACACACGCACACTCCTGCACACACACCAAGATGCACCTTCCTGCAAGGCCCAGACACAGCCGCCAAGCCCCAGGTGCCCATGCTGAGCGGCGGAGAGTGGGAGAGGGGCAGGGGCAGGAGGAGAGAGCTGCAGAGAGAAAGACTGAGGGTGCAAAACAAACACGGAGCCGAGCAGACATTTCTCAGCCTGTTAATTTCCTACAGTTCTGTTTTCCAGCCTCAGAAACAAGCTGGTTTCTGCCAGTCCACCCCCTTCCCTCTGACTGCATTGTGCAGCTGGTAAGCAGAGAGAAGTTGCAGGGAGGAGGGGGTTTCAGAGGGAAGGGAAGAGATTCAGGTTTTCATATGATTTATCGAAGTACAGGCAAGATGCAGAGATGCTTCTGAAGCTGTGACCCCCAAAAGAAGCCCAACTGGGAGATTTGCAGGCTGGACCAGTCTAACCCTACAGGTCTGGGTTTCAGCACGAAGGGAACCTGGGGGTGCTGCAGGGAATGCTTTGCAGGTAGGAGAGAAAACAGAAAGAGGGGTTGGAGGGCCACTTTGATGGAGGGAGCAGGGGTTGGGGAGAGGGGGGTTCTTAAAATGAGCTCATGGGGGGCCTGTAGATGAGGGTTTGCAGATTCAGCAAAGACTTGGCTGCCTCCTTAAGGCATCGGGATGGCTCTGGGCTCTGCTCCAGCTTTTCTGGGAGGCTCCCTGGACAGTCTTGACAGGAGATCATGGGTGGGCAGGTGGATCTGAGGCCTGAGGGTGGCCCCCCTTGGCCCACTACACTGTCCTCAGCACACTTTGTTAGTAAACTGAGTGTCAGGCGGGAGACCTCATGTTCATCCAGGTACATGTTGCAAAGCTCGGTGAATAAGAGCACAGCCTTTGGAATTAGAGAGATGCACAAATCTAGACTCTGAAGCTTTCTAACTGTGTGACCTTGAATAAGTGACCTAACTTCTCTGAGCCTGTTTCCTACTCTGAAATAAGGATTCAGTAAAGTGATGCATGTGGAACATCTAGTGTAAAGCCTGACAGAGTGAGAGTTCAAGTGGATTGCTAATATTTGTATTATAGCTTCTAAGCACTAACCAAATGCACACACCTAGCCCATGATCCCCTGTACCTAGGTTGATGGGGACCAGACAGGCCTCCGCTCTTGGATGAAATTCAGGCTGGGACTAGAGACCATGATGTGAGTGACAGTTCCTGCGATTGGAATTCAGGACACAGCAGGGCTCTTCTCCCTCCTTCAGGTGGAAGAGTGGCTGGGGCTTGTCAGGAGAAGAGGTGAGGGACTGATGAAGGTCCTGGGGTACTGAAGGCCAAACTCCCTTCCTCACCCCTGATTTTCAGGGAGCCATGAACCTGAAGCTGGGTTTCCTCTAGGGCAGAATAAAGGGAAAACATCCTGTGGCCAATTCCTGCCCTGCAGCCTCTGATAGCCTTCTGTTGGTTTGGGGGACTTTAGAGGGCTCTGACATCCTTAGACAAGGCCTAGAGAAGGGGGTCTATAAAGATTTAATTTGGCACAGGGCATGAGTGCCCTTTCTATCCCTCTTGTCCGTCAACCCTTGGGGGTAGGAAAAAACTCAAGAATGCAAACAAGGGGCAGAACTGGAAAAGGCTGGTTCTGGTAGTGAAACCCCTCATGTACCCAAACTTGGGAGCAGATGCCAACATGGCTACAGTCACAGTACAACCAGGATCGGCGGCTTGGCCCCATCAGGCTGTACTTTGGAGCCCAGCAGCTTCCTTGGAGAGAGGGACAGCTGGAGCCTTCTCTCTCAGGCAACAACTCACCTCTCATCTTTCTATTACCCCTAAAAGGAGGCTGTTTCAACGGGCTCAGCAACTCCCTCGGTTTGACCCCTGACACAAGCATGCCTGCTGAATCTACACCTGGACCTATAGACTTGTAGAGTCTGGGTCTGGATGTTCCCACAGGACCATTATCAGTCATGCATACAGAGCTTTGCTGCCCAAAGGGACTTTCTGAGGGCTGAATATTATTTACTTCAACTCTCCTTTGACAAGGCACCCGAGGCCCAGATGGGGAAAGTTACACAGGACTGTGATGGAAGCTGATCAAGATCTCCTGAATCTTCTCAGTGCTGCTTGCTGTGCTTTGTGGCCCTTCCTCTGGCTGTAACTGTAACCCCACCTATACCTTAGGTTGCACGTGCTCACACAGCACTTACCATGGGCCAGGCACTTGCTCTGTGTTCCTAGCCACCCTCCGAGGCAGGTACTATTACGATTCCCATTTTGCAGCTGGGGAGGCTGAGGCTCAGAGAGATTAAATACTTCCCTAAGCTAGTATGTGGTCAAGCTAGAATTTGAAACCAGAATGTCCTGCCCCAGAATCTAGACTCCTAACTGCTGTGCTGTGCTAATGCTCTTCTCTGGAAACTTCACCTGTACCTGGACACATTTACCTTCACTTTCCTCTTCTTCTGTCCTTAGCTTTCACCACCACCTTCACAATTTCTCATTTCAGGCTAAGCCAGATAATCAGCCCAGACACAAGTGCAGGTGCAGCACTGCCAGCAAAATCCCTTTTCCTTTTATCTTCTCCATCACCATCTTAGCCTTATCACATTCACTATCATGATCAACATCACCATTTATAAAGTCTCTAATTGCAAATGACTGTGTGCCTATAGACCAATGCAGATCTAACCCCTGCCTTGGGATGGGAGGATGGGGCTTACAGTAAAGCCAAACAGCAGTTTAAGCCACATATACTCCCTCCCTTTGTAAATAAAGGTACAAAACCAGAATGTGGAAGGCAGTCTCCTTCTTAGAGACTTTTCTGCAATAAGATGGAGGTGGTGAAGGAGAAGTTTCAAACGGCCAAAGAGTGCCTGCTGAGGGAAATTAATCAATGGCCAAGAAGATTGCTTGTCATCTTTCAATATCTATAAGAAATAACGAGCCTCCAGAGAGGGGGCTAGAGCTCCAAGGGAACAGAAGATCAGTGGGTACTCTGCCCAACTCATGCCTCTAAGGAGCTGCAGGAGAAAGATGGAGCCATAGGTAGCTTCTACCCCTTTGGGTGGTGGCTGACACCCATCTCCCCAGCCACAGTATCTCTCACAGCCCCTGGAAGCCAGCAGCAAGCAACACTGCCCAGGAGTTTTAAAACTGATTCTTCCCTTGAGCCCAAATCCCACCCACCTCCCAACCCAATGAGCTTGCTTGTTGGCTGTCCATGAATGTTGGCTGCCAGAGGTGCCATCATCCGGCACAGGATCTACAGGAAAGAGGGCAATGGCTTCCCGGACCAGAGTCTCCACCCAGAATTCCAGCCAAGGCCCCAGGGCTCCCAGGACCTGGAGAATTTTTTCCCCCTGGTTGTACTTGGAATTGGCTGGTTTTCTGGGCACCAGGCCCAGCTCAGTTTAATTTTTGTTTATTTTTATGTACAGATTCTCTTCTGTTTGGGGATGAGCTTTGTGTAAATTATTATTATTTATATGATAAAGAATAAATCACACCAAATAAAAAAACCCACAATCTCTTTTTCTCAATAGAATTACTGAATTAGGGGCTGAAAGGAACAGCCGACGTGCTGGGGTTTGGTTCAGTCAGGCTTTGGACACGGATTCTCGCAAAACATCTTAGTAAATGGGCTCCGTTATCCTGGATTTGATGCTACCCACAGTCAGCAGAGGCATAAGGGACCTCCCAGAAAGATGGCAGCGGTTCAGGCCTAAGGGTGGCTTCCTGGTCCTCCAGACATCCCATCCCTGGAGAGATGAGTCGGGCATTTTGAAGTGATTCACTAACTCAGAATGGGGAAGAAAAGGGAAAACAGAGGAGTTGGGGATTCTTGCCAGAACATGATCAAATGCCCTGAATTGGGGTGGGGGTAGGGTTCATAGGAGTTACTTGAATAGTGGCATTATTACATCAGGGAAAAATGAGCCAATCATTTATTTGCCTATTCATTACATTTGCATGCCAAGACTCTATTGGTTGAAATGAAATGAGTCAGGAGGCAGGGATGCAGATGGGCAGAGGACCAGCTGAGCCTGGAAAGTGTCCCCAAGTGGCCCCCATCCCAGCCAGGGTAAGGAGGAGACAAATTCACCAAAAATAGTGCACCCTCAACAGAACTTGGATAAAGTTCTGTTTGGGAACTAGATAAAGACACACCCAGGGCAAGGAATCCATCCTGAGGCTAATATCCTAAAGACCAGATGGAGGAAGAAGTCAGCAATAGTTGTTTTTTGCTTGTTTGTTTTTGTTATTTTTGTTGTTGTTTTAAATCTCCTAGGACCTCAGGCTACCGGAGATCCATACCCGTCCTGCTACCAGAGAGTTTTAAAAAACATCTAGGCTGGGCGAGGTGGCTCACACCTGTAATCCCAGCACTTTGGGAGGCCGAGGCGGACAGATCATTTGAGGTCAAGAGTTGGAGACAAGCCTGGCCAACATGGTGAAACCCTGTCTCTATTAAAAATACAAAAAATGAGCTGGGCATGATGGGATGTGCCTGTAATCCCAGCTACTCGGGAGGCTGAGGCAGGAGAATCGTTTGAACCCGGGAGGTGGAGGTTGCAGTGAGCTGAGATCGTGCCACTGCACTCTAACCTGGGCCACAGAGCGAAACTCCATCTCAAAAAAAAAAAAAAAAAAAAAAAATACACACACAAACATCTGGCACCACTGCCTATCAGCTTTTTCTCAAACTGTGTCCTCTTCCTAGAATGGACTTCTCCTATCTTCCCACCTAAGTCCTACCTTTGCGTTGAGGCACAGCTATGACCAGCATCATGGTGGGGTCCCAGAGCAGGGACTCTGGTGTCTCCTCTTGAGCTTCAAAAAGTCTACTCTGCCACTTAATAACTGTGGAAAATTTGGGCAAGTCGCTTAATCCTCCCTGAGCCTTACTCTCCCCATCTATAAATGGGATAATAATAGCGATCACACATACGCAGAGGCTTAGAATGAGGATTAAATCAGAAAGGTCACATGTAAAATGTGCTTACACAGTAAGTGCTCTATTAAAGTGGTAGTTATTGAGAATGATACTCTAGTAAGCTATCCCAGAGCTCCCCAACTGGGAATTAACTGTGTCCCACTCTGACATGTACCTTGGGAACACAGGGATTCCACCTTAAGGTTTCCGACTAAATCATTTTTCACAATCTCCCCTGAACCAACTATTATGTAATGAATCTGGCAGTCCCTAGCCATGCTTTGCACTTAGTAGGTGCTTGCTAAGACAATAAATGCTTGTTTAAAATGTTGCCCAACTAGTCAAATTCTCAAACCCTGTAAAATCCCACTAAATTCTAATCTCTTTGTCCTGTGTCCCACACAATGCCTGGTTCAGCCACTTCCAGTGGAGTGGAAAATGGGGAGCAGTGGAAGATGGGCTGGGGCCCCAGGAGGAGAGGGGAGATGAGAGGTGGGAAATAAATGGAGCCTGTAAGGGGTTTTACTGTGTCCAGGCCACATGGATCAATCTGTTTCCACCGCTCTTCCATAGGGCACTTTAAATTC